GAGAGAGAGAGAGAGTTTAAAAAGAAACGTCTCGTCGCATCGTGACCCGGAATCCCGCCGTGTTTTTCACGTCCCCCTTCTTTTTTAAAGCTGCAACTTTTCCCCAAAATTAAGCGTTCACAAAAGTTTTGCAAGTGCATCCCATTTCGACGAATCGATGATCTCTCGTGAATGAGAAATACGCGACGATAGAGTGTCGATCGATTATTTATTTATTTATTTATTTATTTATTAGGAAACGAGAATTGGAAATTTGAAAGAGGGCGTTTCGATTACGATAGATGATTTAAACGATTCTTTTGTATATGATAAAAAATGATATTTCATTTATATATTTGTATAAAGATATAGATCGAAAAGGATCGAAATTTTTTATCTCGTTGTAATTTTTGATTTATTTTCTCGTTACTTTTTTCCCCCTTTTTTAACGTATATAAAGATCGTGATAAAAAAAAAAAAAGAAGGAGGAAGGTAAAAATGATTTATGCGCTCAAGTTTTTCGACACACGATGAAGTTTTAGCTGAGGACGTTAGATGGCGCAGTTGTTATCGATCTCATTTCTTGCTGACTTTCTATAAATACGTTTCTTTATCGCGCGTAAATAAAAGATACCGGATAAAAAAATTTCGTTGTGTAAACGAATACCTTTTTTTTAAATTATAAACTTAAAAAGTTGTCGTTAATATCGATAAACATATTACATATTAATAAATAATTGTAATGAAATTGCTGTCCGTTAACGTGCTCGATTATTTTATTACTGTTACAATTTTCATCGTTCTAATTGCATATTTCATTTGCAATTAGAGACGAGATAGAGAATCGATCAAACTAATCAATACATTTACGCGAATAAAAGGTAAACCTGTTATACGATGGTCGTATAATTCATAAAACTCGCTGCTTACGTAAGGATCTAGAGTTTACAGTTTCGAACGACAGAAATTTATATATTCGTCGATTGATATTAGCGATAAGTGATGAGATCACGTGAAAACGATTAAAACCCATACTCTACAATGTTTCAAAAACATTTTCTTCCGCTTTTTGTCTTTGTCGCTACTTTGCTCAATTCACGATCGATACAATAAATGAGAAAATGGCAAACGACGAGTGAATTTTTTTACAATTTCTATTTCCTTATTATTGTTATTATTATTATTATTATTATTATTTCGTTTTGGATCTAACAAACGATTTCGCTATGACGTTTATTCGTTTATCGCATTGTTACGCGTTATCTACGCTAATTATCGCATCGACTCGCGTTATGGAATTTTACCTCGATCCCTTATCTCTATTTTCCCCGCTTCCTTTATTGAAATCATCCGCTCGATAATAGAATATGCGTAATAATCGTTCTCGACCGTGGCTCTCGAAGAAAATTCAACACAGCGATCGAGTTTAAGGGGTAGTAGACATCTGGCAGAGATAGGTGCGAACGAAAAGTTTTAATGCGACCACGAGATCGGTGGTCTGAGCTTTCCATTCGCTTCCCGGGCCGGATAACGAACGTTAAACCAGTTGAAATACACTTTTTCAAAACGTGTCACGGTAATTGAGCGAAGAGAAGAGGGCAAAACAGGGGTTGAACGAGTGTAATTACGAGTGCGGGCAACCGATTCGAGCATTGCAGCTTTTGCGACCAGGAAACTGGACGACCACCCGCCGTCCACTAAACTTTGTAAACCGGGAATTTCGAACTTTCGAAGGAAATAACGCTGGGGAAATGTTAAAACGCTGATAACTGGTGAGATTGACCGGCGAATTATTTACGAATTAACTTAACTTTCGAATAAAAGAGTAATAAAAATTTCTCAGATACGAAATGTACGAAACTCTGAGCTTTCGTTTCACCTTAAATATGGACTTTAAAATAAATAAATTTTTCCCCCTGAAAATTACGTTACACGTAAATTTCTCATCAATACGAAAAAAAAAAAAAATGATGTGTTTTTATTAATCCATCATCGATAATAATTCTGCTCCGATGTAGATGTACTCTGGAGGAGTAGCGTGAAAACCAGAGATCCCCTCCCCTCCCCCCTCAAATCTGTTCACCTGTGCGTTCGAAGAAGCACAGGTCCCGTATCTAGAAATTAGGGTGAGCACAAAGGAAGAGATATAAGCCGGTTTTATTGCTTGGAACGGAAGGAGGGGGGCATTCGGCGTCATGGGAAGCGCTGTAAACGAGAGACACGTATCTCGGGTCGAAATATTGCGCGCGTTAACAGTGGTCTGAAGTATCGCCACTGTTGACGGAGAGAAGAGAAAGGGAAGAGGGAATGTTCGAGAGATAGAGCGAAAACGGGAGGTCGTTAAACTTTTTTAAATCAAGCTCGCGCGAAAAATCGTTTTGGACTTCTCGGAGGGATCCTCCTCTGAAAGAATTCTCGAAAGTTACTCGACCTCGTTTCCTACGAATTTCCTTCCCAATTCTCGAAATTCTGGAGAATTTCGCCCCTTCCAAACATTTCTGGCGATGTCGCGAGATGGCGGTGCCTTCGTACTTCTCTCTTCTATCATCCAGGGAAAAGATTACGAAGAAACATTTTTTACTACATTGCTATATCTTGTATCTCGAATGTATGGCGGAGTTCAATTCTTCTCCAAATCGATATTTTTCGAATTTCCCTTCGGCCGTTCACTTCGAGGAGAAGAGCCATTGCATTTATCCATCCTTCGATAAATTAATTTCCGACGAAAGATTTCAAGTGGAAGAAAAGTTGAATGAAACAGTTGCTTCCCTCGAAACAGCTCGTCGAGAGTATGTCAAGATCGACATGTATCCGCGGATGGGCGGAAGAAGCCGACAAAGCTCGAAAGAAGAAAAGTTACGGCAGGCGTCTAGTGGCTGCTCGAACAAAAGGTCTATATCGGTTGGTTATATACCTCTTGTGAACGCGAAAACGTAACGAGCCACTTGGCCACGTTGCATATTCCGCTGCCTGGATATTTGGTCCATCGTTGTTACGTAAAATCTGACCCGCCATTTCCCTAATTAAAACGAGCTCAATTGTCCATTTTCTACCTGCTCGCTCGTTTATCAATTATCTTCGAGAGTGTTTGCGCTCTAAAAATTCGATCCATCTTCTTAGATTCTTCTAAGAGTGATTTTTCTTTTTTTTTTTTTTTCTTGTTTCACAATCGAACAGGGATAATCATAAATGGATTAATCGTTAAAAATGAATTCGCGAGAAGATGAAGGGATCCATTTGGAAGGTATTCTTTATTTTGCTCGAGAAGCGGACGAGAGACGAGAGATTCTCGCGAGGCAAGAAGCGGGAGAAGGACAGGAAACGCGGATAATTTCCTTATTATCACCGTGGACGGTGAATTCCAGATTTATTAGCGGTGCTTGTGCAATAGCCTATTCGAATCGGCCGCGAGGGTAATGATTTAATGCCACCAAAATCAATTCTAATCCACTTACGAGATCCTAATTTTCCCTAGTGGAAAATAATCTTCTCCTAATCTTAATATTTATCGCGTAAGCAATTCCAATTTCTTCCACTTTCTAAAAAAAGAAAAAGAAAAATCTATTTCCATCGCGTTAATTTTCTAAATACCCTCACTTTTTTACAGACATAAATAATTATCTTTTTCCACTCGAAGTGTACGAAAAAAATAAATAAATGCGATATCAATTTTTGCGATATTTTAAAAATATCCCTCCCTCGAAGAAAACAACAATTGCTCGCGATTACTATGAGAACGAACGTTAAACCGAATCTTCTTGGTAATCCGCGATAAATATATTTCGTAATCGAACGTCGACCTAAAAAATGAACGACGGGGCTTATCGATCGCGTGTCCAAAAATAGCGGAAACGGAAACGGTTTCGGGTGGGAAGGCTCGCGAGCTCGCGAAACCGACTTCGTTGTCCTCGGCGATTGATAAAGAGGATCGAGGATATAAAAGGCCTCGAGAACGGTTTAAATTCGTCGTGTGATCACGGTGGAGGCCTTGGCACGGAGTCGAACGTGACAATCGTAAAACCGATGTCGTGTCCCGTGTGGATAACGCGTTTAAACGGCGTACGAAGCATATTCTCCGACTTACCTCGCGAAGCTCCTTGATCTTTAAACCTCCCTTGCCGATTATGCATCCGGCTTGACTCTGATGCACCAACATGCGCACGTCGATCTCGTCGCTCCCGTGTCGAGATCCATTCTGAAACCATTTCCAACCATTTACTTTCTCGTCTTCTCTTGTTACACGAGTGAATATATTCTTTGGTAATGTTTCCCTGCTCGTTTGAATGGCTCTACGTGTTCGTCGTGCGGGCAAATTTCGCTTATCTTTCCTTTTATTTATTTATTTTTTTTTTTTTAATTTTCCCAACAATCTTTACGTATTCGTGAATAATCGTTGTTCGTAGTTCGTAGTTGTTCCAGGTTTATGTTAATTGCTGATCTTCGAACGGATAATAAATATTCATAAGAATTCTTTGGAACGTGACTCTATATCATTGTCGCCACGTGTTTGTCGTTAAAATAGGATGCATCGATTCGTTCCACTACTTATGGAAACGGCTACTACTTTGTCCCGTGCAAATCGAAGAAAAAAAAAATATATATATATCCTTCTTTGAGGAAAAATTTCGTTTAAATTTTAGATCGTTTCTCTAAATTTCTAGAATGCATTCCATGCAACTATAAAATGCAATTCCCTTTGGTACAAGAGTTGTCTGTAAGGTGGGACGGTATATTGGTTAGCACCCTAATCTCCCTATGGCGATTAAATTATTCGTTCGAACAACATACTTTCATACTTTTCGATTATTAATAAGTAATAACGAGCTTACCAAATAAAGCAAGTTATTTCTTTCTACGTCCATTAATAATCGTATCGATGACTCAAGAGAGAATGAGTCATGGCACGATAAATTCAACACGATGAATCAAGGCGCTCAAACAATTACCGAACCAACCCTCCCGGCTCTCTATCACTCTATACCACTCTATATCTTTAACAGTTCTACTAAAATAAGAAAAAAACATGTGAAAAGTCTCACGATTGAGTCATTTCTTTTCCCGTGTGATCCTCTTCTGGTAGCAACACTCACCTCCTCGAGATTAGGTACGACCTCGTTCAACACTTGGAGTACGGTGGGCAGATCCGAGCTGATGGTAAGCACCCTAAAATCAAAAACACTCCAACAATTACTCTCATTCGACCACCTTTGTCTTAATAACGTTACAAACACGTTTGCGTTTTTTTTTTCTTTTTTTTTTTTTTTGCCTACAATCGAATCGTGTCCACGAATTTTCACCCTTTCCCTCCCCGCAAGAAATTAGCTGCTGGAACCAATTTAAAAAAAACCTTTTTCTAAAAAAAAAAAAAAAGTAATCCATCCCCTTCGTCCTTCCTTTCGCCATTCAAAAATTTTGAACAGCACCCCGCCGCTTGCTTTTATCCTCCGCTCGCGAATATTTCCGTATCTCGTCGCATCCGCTCGAACTTTCATTTAATTTTTTTTACATTTTTAATTCCACCCCGGCAACGCAATTGAACGAATCGAATTGATAAACGAACTGGGATTCACCAACGATCGGCTGCCTCTCGTCTCTTTTTGAGTGAATGGCGGCGAGTGGAATCACCGCTGGTAAACGGGTTATTGAATAAAAACACAGGAAATACCGCTTAAATACGAAATTCCGATAAACACGAAACTTTCGAAACGCTGAACACAAATTAAACACCGGAGGACTATCTCCTCCTCCGTTCTGTCTTCCCGCCCTTTCTTCTTTTCTCTTTTTCTTTTTAATAGTCCGCTAATTGAAATTCCAAGGAATCGCGTCTCGTTTCCCTTCCCTTCCTTCGATCGATATAACGAGGCAGTGAAATTGTAGATTGAGAAAACAAAGAGTTGTTCTTAAAAATTGCAGGTATCGCGTAAAGGTAACTGAACAAGGAGTGAAAAAAATAAATCGAAAATAAATAAACTATTTTCATTTGAAGGCTTTGTTTTCGAGTAAAATTTCCGATAAATTTTAAAAGCAGAAATTAAAATTAGCTATTTTTTTTTTTTTTGACTACATACGAATAAATTATGTATGACAAATGATTTGTTAAAATATACAAAGGAAAAAAGAATAAAATCTACGTTTTGAGTTTGAGTTTTTTTTTTTTTTTTAAAGAAAATCCAAAATGAACATATCAAAAGAAAAATTAAATTTTGAATGAAAAAAGTTTATTCCACTTTTTATTTTCGCATTTCACAGAGTGAACGTTGTTGATAGTTTATTCGTGTTTCAGTCAGAAATTAGTCAATTTTAGTTGTACTTGAAAATTTGCTGTACCGAAAAGCGAAAGTTCGAATGAAAAAATATTATTCTATATCCTCCCTTTATTTTTTTTTCTTTTACTTTTATAAAATATAAGCACTTGCACTTGTTTCTAATTATTGCAAAAAAAAAAAATAAATAAACTAATTAATTTGACTCGGTTTCCAGTTATTAACTTTCGCACTCAAATTTCAAGAGGTTTCCATGTTTTTTTTTTTTTTGTATATGTAGCGGGCAACACGAGAAAACGAGAAAGATTTTTCATCTTCCGCGCAATTTTCAGATATTCGAACAGGTTCGAGAGGAGAATAGGATCATATTTCCCGATCATAGACCGGATTTTCCACCAGTTTTTCACATTGTATCCACTCGATCGATGGTTGAGATTCGGATAACAATTGCGAGAGGACGAGAGGCTGCCGAAAGTTCGGAATAGAAGTTTCACTCGCGACTTGTTTTCGCGGATTGGTTGGCGAAGGAAAATTACGTTTCGTCCGACACGATTCGATTTCGACCGAGGCACGATAATGTATTCTAATTTCGAGATAGTGCTTGAACGAAGCCGGAAGCCAGGTAATCGTATCGCCGAAATCAATGCATTTGTATTCGTTTTCCGTGGAAAAATCGAATTCGACGATGGCCAGCCAAATTCTGGGAGGAGATTGAGAATGGAGGTTCGATTAAAATTCGAGAAAAAGTTATTGAGAAATTAAAAATTCGTAGATCTTTTTTTAGAAGAAACGAAATTCAGGATCTCTGTTCGCAAGCGAGTAGAAATTTAATCTTTTTAAATTTTAATTAAAAGGAAAAGAGAATTTATAAATATGAAAAAAAAAAAAATTTGTAAAATAATCAAGAATTTACTGACCATCGTGGTATTTGACGGAAATAACAAGAAAATAAAAAAAATAAATTCCATCGACACATACGTTAAATGGAACATGGTTTATTTCACAAATTGTTTCTATCGCTACTTCTTTAGCAATGCACTTTTATCGATCCCTCTTTTTACAAGAGCCGAAGCTTTTAACGTATCGCAAGATAAAAAGCTGCGACGAGCTTTCCCTTACGAATGGCGTTCCTTCGATCGTCGCATGATTATTTTGTTATTAAATGTTAACCATCGACTGATAGGGTGGAGTTAGGAACGAACAATTACATACTTCCTCAGCGAAGCTGAAATCTAGCTTTTTATCTATTTTTTTACTATAGCTGAAATGTGAATGCACGTTAATCCTCGTCACAGACAGAATGAGTTGAATCGGTCGGTGTTTGTTTAGTAGTGACGTGTAATTTTAATAATAAGAAAAAAAAAAAAAAATTAATCCAGTGTTAGTACTAGTAGTCACACGTTCGGTGAGAGAGAAGGTGAGACAATACGAGTTGCAGAGTGAATCATGCGAGCAGGGGTAAGTCGTACTTGAACGACCTAAAAAAACTTCGAAATACATATCAAGAACGATCTAAAAAAAAGAAAAAAAAAAATAACTAGAAATCCCTATTCGTACACAGAAAGATAAAGAAACGGAGGGAGAGGGGAAAAAAAAATGAATCGATATTATCGCAACAAAGAACTATTTAACCCTATTCGCTGTTATGCTATTTTTAAAAACAAAAACTATAATTTTCTCCTCCCTCTATTATTACGATGTTGTGCATGATTACGAGAGGAAAAGTCGGGGGAGAAAAAGAAAGAAAGAAAAAAAACTCCTTCTTTCAAATTAGCAGCGAGAAAGTAAACAGTCGATGAGACATCTGGTGGTGAAAATAGGAAGGGCCACCGCACGTAACCTCAAACGCGATAAATTTAATTGAATGGCGGAATGGAAAATCACCACGTTGGATCCGAAATATTCTCCATATGACGTTAAGCAGGGTTAAATATGATCGGGCCCATCGTACCTTTTCCTTTGTCAGCGGTTTCCATCGACAACCGAAGCACGGTTATATACGCACGACTTGTCTCCGTCGCGTGACTCGACTTGACTATCGCGAACAGCTGGTATTTTTTTTCTCTTTCCTTCGAATCGATCTCACCCTACCAATTATGGGAACAGAGCTCCACGCTCACCCTACTAGTCGAGGGTTAATCATGCGCTTTTCTCCTACATAACGGTCGCTGTCTCGCGATCACCAGACACGAGATCGTTCGATATAGAAGTAACACGGTCGCGAGGGAACGGTTTCCAGTGACCTCTGAAAACCGTGAAAACGGTTAGCTACTTCTCTCCCTGAGAACCGATTCTCACCCGATTTAACACGCAATCAACACGAATTTAACTAACGTCTCCTTGGAGAACCAGTGCGCGTTATCAATTCGAAAGGAAAAGTGTCGAAGGTCATCAACAACGAAGCCTCGAAAATGAAAGCTAGATTTACAGATCTCTCCACGAAATTAAAAGCTTCTCTGAGACAAAAAAAAAAAACTACGATTCTGCTGGTAAGCTTTGATCGCGAGTATTTAGGATCTCTAGACGTGTCTCGATGGGATGAAAAATTGAATTAACGGATGTCTTTCCGTTAAAAACCTGTTAAATCTAACAGAGGATTAAGAGAATCAGAGGTTAAAAGAGAAACTGGCTTCAATCGTTTGAAATCGAATATTTCCTCTTGATTAATCTGTAACGAATGCGCGCAGATTATTGCGAATAATTTTTTAATTAAGTTTAATTGAATTTCGAATCTGATTCTTTTCACTCCTCGCGACTGTTCGGTTATTATTTATGAAACGGAACGGTTGTTTAATTGCTTTTCGATCGTTGCTGTTCGACATTTTTTTTTCCCCTCACTTTATCACATTACAATAAATATTTTTCTAAAGACACGAAAAACTATAATTCTTCTCCTAATAATTTTTATAATGCGCGCGTCGAATTTTACATAAATTGTCGAATAGCCGTGACTATATGATGAAATCGGTTGTTATTCGGGCCTGTATGTTGTATCCTAAAAAAACGCAAGTAAGGTTTGGAATCGATTAATAATTCCGTCGATCTACGGAAACCACGTAGACTATCAATGTGCATTTTTTAAACGTAATTTAAATATTTTGTTTATCATAAATAATTACTAGTCATCGTGGAAATTATAGATGCGAAACTCGATCGTGAAACAATGAAATGAATTATAAAACGACACTGGATTCCATTTTGCATTAATCGGTGAACAAAAATAATTTATAATCGAAATGTGACGATGATTTTGGACGACGATAAAACCTCATTACGTCATCTCATTTATCGAACTGTGTAAAGAATCGTCTCCACGAAATGACTAACAGATGTGTCAATTTCTTGATAATTTCTAACGATAACTCGATACGATCGATCAATCCTACTTAAAGTTTTACAACGTCTACAAAATCGCTAAGACCTTCTCTTATCTTAAACACGCTCGACGCTTATACCACAACGTTCTTGTGAGAAAAAAAAAAAAGAATAATTCAAATCAAAACTACGTTCGTTAAATCTCGTGAAAAAGCGTTCGTGAAATCCCTTTCGTTGCTGACTTGAATTAAAAACTTGAATTTCTACCAAAAAAAAAAAAAAATTTAAGACAATGCACACAATCACAAAGCCATCGTGAACGAAGTTTATCACCAAATGAGGGAGACGTAGTTGGTTCGTAAGGAATTTGGAACGAGCATGTACGAGGCCAGCAACGAAAGGATCGAAACGAGGCAGAGAACACAAGAGGCACAAGATCACAACAGCAAATCGGTAATAACTTTCGACTGTAGCGATCGGTGGACAATTTGTTCAATCGCTACTTTTTTTTTTTTTTTTTTTTTAGTTGGCAAATATCTCTGCCAGGACGATGATGGTCAATGGTGCGCTGATCAATGGGGCGTACCTAAAAAGAGTAAGCGTGACATATCGACGTTAAGCGTGGAATCGGCAGAGTACCCGCCTATTTCCACGGATTAGCATCCGTGTTAGCCACAAAAAAATTAGAAATAAAGAGAATGTGAAAATGAAAGAGAGAAGAAGGAAGGATAGAGAGAGAGAGAGAGAGAGAGAGAGAGAGAGAGAGAGAGAAGAAGAAAGAGAGAAGAAGAAGAAGAAGAGAGAGAAGAAG